TGCTTTTCAGCTTCCAGAATTTTGTGTTGATAGTGCCCTCTTCTGTTGTCTTTGTTCATGTGAATTTATGCCTTAAAAGGGTTTCTTTGTTTAATGGGATTTTAGAGGGAGCAAAAGTCAGCATCTTTGGCTGGGCACTGTGGCTCAGGCCTGTAATTCTAACAATTTGGGAAGCTGGGGTGGGAGGGTTGCTTGATTTCAGGAGTTCAAGACCAGCCTGGGCAACATGGTGAGACCTCATCTTTACAAAAAAGTTTTTAAAAATATTAACCAGGCTTGGTGATACACACCTGTGGTCCCAGGTACTCCAGAAGTTGAGGCAGGAGGACCACTTGAGCCCAGGAGATCAAGGCTGCAGTGAGTTGTGATCATACTACTACATTCCAGCCTGGGTGACAGAGTGAAACTTTGCCTCGAAAAAAAGTTTTCTTTCTCTTTAATTTTATAAATCAAGAGCCAAGCCCAAGGGAGGTAAAATGACCTTTTTCCAGGTCATATAATTAAGTTCAGCTAAGTAGATTTGCTGGGTTGGTGTTGTGTTATTCCTATTACTGTATCTAAACATTTAAGCACAGATTTTCAAATGAAACATAAAACTACAGGGAAGGAATAAAAACAGACTTTGAGGTTAGTTTATGACAACATATAGATTATACCTGAATGTTAATATTTCTGAATCAAAAATAAGTACCTTATTCAATTTGTTTTTGTAAATTTTAACAATTTGATAGTTTTTGTTTAGAGAGAAAAGATGTTAAGAACTAATGATACTTTGCCTATAATTTTTGGTATCTGAGTTTTTGTTGTTGGAAGAATAATAAAGGTCCTTAATCACTGAAGTCCCTTAACTGCCTTAACTTAAACATACATTGTTTTACAGGAAAAGCTGAAGACTGTAGTTGAAAGCTGGAAAAATCTGCCTAGTTCTGAAAAGAAAGTGAGTATTGTGGTTGTTAGTCTCAAGTGTCTAGTTAGGATATCTATGAGAGAATATATTAGGGCAAGTCTTGACTAATGTGAAGACAACCATATATTATTAGTAATACAGGTATTCTAAAATTATTTTCATATTCTCAGAACCAATTTGGCATTTTTCTCTTGGTAATTTTTATCTGCAAATAAAATTGGTATTTGCAACCATAGCACTCATAAGCCCGGGTGTCCACTGTATTGAGTGGCAGTCCTACCCTGTTGCTGCATACCCTGCTATCCCTTTCTACACCTCAAAATCTGAACTTGTAACAATTGCAAAGAGATAACGGTCTGTCTCTTTACATTTTCCTCACCTAACTTTTATCTCATGAAAATATTTCTTCTCCAGTCTCCCTTTATACATGCTGAATGGCAATGTAATTTCTAAAGTATATACAGAGGCATTTCAGAAATTAATTGCTATTTTAAATAATTATTTTAGTAAATAAGTAAATCATTTTAACAGTTATGCTTTTTCTCAGATATATATTCAGCTTGCTGAAGATGATAAAATTCGTTATGATAATGAAATTAAGTCTTGGGAAGAACAGATGATTGAAGTTGGGAGAAGGGATCTTTTACGAAGAGTGAAGCAACCATCAAAAGATGACACACACGTATTAGAAGTAGAAGATTGAGACGTGTTCACAATGGATAGGCACAAGAAACCAGTTAGGTCTCAATACCTGAAGCTGTTATAAAATTAGAAATTTCTTTTTCTTCAGCTCATGGACCTCTGCCAGTGTAATACTTGCTTTGGAAAACCCAGATAAAGGTTTATGCAAAATTTATTTTGTATTTAGGAACTACTGAGGATCAAAGTAATCCATGCAAATGTGAATTATTTTACCTTTGATAAAGGTAAATCAGACTATGAAGTTTTTTTATACAGGATGATGGCTATGTAAAGAGTATTCTTGTTTCCTTATATTATGGAGGCAGGAGTTTCCTTTTCATAATTGTTACAAATTGTAGAAGCCACAGTGTTCTGTGATATAATTGTGCATTTTTCAAAAAGCAGCCTGAACTCATCTAGGTAAATTCCAGTTCCTAAGTATAATTCATATTATATTCAGAATTGATGGTTGTACATGTAAGTGATTGCTAGTTTCAGTTGCAACTTTTTATAAAAGGGGCTGAGAAATTTATAAACCTTTTTGTCACTGTCTTTTTTCTAAAGTAAAAACAAAGAAATTATGTACCAGATCTATGCATATTATTTTATGTTGCATAGAATCAAAATTTTAATCTTTAATTTTACATTTTCTAATTATATATTTTAAGATTAAACATTTGTTTTAACAGCTTTTTTTTTTAAGTAAGGAATTATATTTTTTTCTGAATTATTTTCTCTTATGTGAGTATATTGATCAGAAAGAAAACTTGTATATATTTTAAAATGAGAAATCTAAAAAATGAAAAGTCTCCAAAGTCTCTGGAATTTGAAACACTTTGCATAACGTATAAAAACCTGTGTAAGAGACAGCCAACTATGGCCTGTGGGCCAAATCCAGCCTGCTGCCTGCTTTTTATGGCTGGTGAGCTAGGAATTATGCTTATAGTTTTAAATTTTTTTGAAGACTTTTATGATACATGAAAATTATTAACATGAATATTCATAAAGTTTATTGGAACAAAACCAGAATCATTCTTTTACTTGTCTACAGCTGCTTTTCTGTTATAGTGACAGAGTAGCTGCCAAAGAAACTACAGTCCACAAAGCCTGATATTTACTGTGTCTATTTACAGAAAAAATTTGCCAACTCATGGTCTATAATATAGTGTGATACATTGGAACAATTGTTCCAATGTATTGAGGTGTTGGGATAGTTTTTTCAACTGTTTTCAGATATGGTTTTAGAATCATTGTCACCTTTAAGAAGAAATAGGTTATCACTATGTAAGCCTAACAAATTGTTGTTTCTCAAGTGTTAGCAAGGAAAATAATCTAGTTTCAAATTACATTGCGGTATAATGAAAAAGATCCATATAGTGTGGAATGAGAGTCTTTTAAAATTACTTGCTATGGCTTAGTAAAATGTACCTTTTCCAATTAGCACATATCACAAAAACCTCACTATTGTTGAAAGCCAGCTTTCTTTAGCATTTGTTCATCCTTTCAGGAGAGTCAAGCAAGGTTTTCAAAATCCACACCACCTGTTTGAGCAGAATAATTCATCTTTTTTTTTTTTTTTTTTGAGATGGAGTCTCGCTGTTGCCCAGACTGGAGTGCAGTGGCACGATCTTGGCTCCCTGCAACCTCTGCCTCCCTGGTTCAAGTGATTCTCCTGCCTCATCCTCCCAAGTAGCTGCAATTACAGGCACGTGCCCACTATGCCCAGCTAATTTTTTGTATTTTTAGTAGAGACGGGGTTTCATCATGTTAGCCAGGATGGTCTCGATCTCCTGACATTGTGATCTGCCCACCTCAGCCTCCCAAAGTGCAGGGATTCCAGGCATGAGCCACCGCGCCTGACCTCATCTTTCATCATCAGTTCACAGGTACAGGATAACTCAATTTATATGCACTGTATACGTTATGCAGAATATTTAGAAATTGTAGACTCTAGATCTCCAGAAAGACTTTGAAGACTTTGATGTCACAAAAGGATGACTTGTTATATGCTGAGCTTGACAAAGGTAGAAATGGGAGAGAAAAATAATAGTTTATGAGGACAGATGAGACTTAAATATGTAAAGTTGGATGTTTTACAATAACTTCTCCCTATGGTTGCTTCTCCCTCTGGGTGTAGACAGGACAGTGTCAGCCATTGGTGAAATAGATACAATGGGTTTGAGGCCAGCAGTTTGGGAGTAGGGAGAAAGAGAAAGAGGTGTGCTAGTGTCTGTCACAGGCTTTCTCAATTAGGTTTTCAGGAGAAAATGCAGCCCTAATTTCCTGTATCATCTAGAATGGTACTAATTATGTACAATCAATTGTAACTCAAATCATTGACTCAGTTCTATTCTGTTCAGATGAGCTCAGAGTGCACATAGGAGTGTTTGTAATGAGTGAGATGGAGGAATGAATTATGCAAACATCTCAGGACAAATGCAACATAAAAAACATTGCTGTAGTTAACTCTGCAGGGAAATTTCCTCTGAGCTCTTTTAACATTAACTACCTGTACTGTTTTATACTTAATATTCACATCATACCTTCCCAAATATATTGGGAAGTTCAGCATTAAGTATGTTTGTCGAATACTTACAACTTCATATAGGGAAGAAAGGTGTAAACAGTGAAGAGTTAGAGCAAAACGATTTTATGATAATTTTATGGTAATTTCAAATTGGATTTGGTTCTCTGTTCCTAAAATAATGTAATTTTTAATATTTTAAATAATAGGATAATCTGTTTTCCAAGCCTTATTTCCCCTCCTGACATCCAGAATGCACACTGGATCCAAGCCTTTCTTGAACTTCAGTACACATGGAAGACTGACATGCCATATACCAAATGCAGTTTACCTTGAACAGTAGACACAGATTTTCTGTTATAAAGAATAAGAGCCTCAGTAACCAGTGATCACTCATATAAAGCCTTATTATTTGGTGTGTGTGTGTGTGTTAGGTCTCATTATGTTGCCCAGGCTGGAGGGCATGCTGTGATCTTGGCTCACTGCAGCCTTGACCTCCTGGGCTCAAGTGATCCTTCTAAATAGTTGGGATTACAATAGGCACACACCACCATGCCTGGCTAATTTTTGTATTTTTTTGTAGAGTTGGAGTCTTGCTGTGTTTCCCAGGCTGGTCTCAAACTCCTGGCATCCAGCGATTCTCCTTTCTTGGCCTCCCAAAGTGCTGGGATTCTAGGCATGAGCTACCATGCTTGGCCATAAACAAAGCCTTACTATTATTTTTGAAGACACAGTCTTGCCCTGTCCAGGGTGGAATGCAGTGGCATGATCATGGCTCACTGCAGCCTTGAACTCCTGGGCTCAAGAGATCCTCCCATCTCAGCCTCCTGAGTAGCTGGGATTATAGGTACAAACCATTAGACCTGGCTATTATTTTTTAGACTTTTCTTAATTTGATCCAACAAAGTAGTTGCTATAGGAGCTGAGAGGTAGAAGGAAAGGTGCTGAAGAAATGAAATAAAGCAAGGTATATACTGTCATGAATAGTCATATAGTAGTTAATACTAGGTTTTATAGAAGTAATTAGATGAGGGAAGAGAGGGTTGTGTGTTTATTTTACTTTCTGATCTTTACTTAATAGTGTGTGCAAATTCAGGGTACTATAATTCTGTAACTATGTTATTGCTTTTGGCTAACTCCTTTTTTGGAAACATCTTTTTTTTGTACAGGGTGTATGTTATTTTTTTCTAACTGCTCTGAATGTGTGTATTTCGATTTCTGAATAGAAAAAATTATAGTAGCATACTTAAGTAGATTTAAAGTAATTAGAATACTTTATTTTTCTGATGTTCTCTGTACCTAAAATTTATCACCACCAGGTTGTGCTAAAACAGCAGGAAATTTTTATATTGTGAGTGACAGTATCCATTATTTCTCTTAATTTTACTAACATTTACTATAAGAATATTCTCTCCGTCTTTTCTCCATTCACAGCTACTCTCCCTCCTTTTCTTCATAACATCAAGCTATCACAGACAAATCTGAAAATGTTACAAGCACAGACTATGTTGTATGTTTTGAAATTTTAAAGCAGTAATGTTCCTTTTAAAATTGAACTTCTGGAAAGAATAAGAATATTAATACATTTATTACTTTAAATTTGTAAGGCTTTTCAAACAAAAAGCAAAACCGCACAAAGCTAGTGTCAGTCTCTCACATCGTTCACAAATAAAGAACTTTTGATAGTTTATTAAATCACTGATTATATTTGATATGAAATACATAAAACATACAACCATTCTCTAAGATATTTCAAAATGTTTCATTGGTTAAGGAGCCAGTAAATAAAGTTGACCCTAAACAAGAATTTTAAATAAACAAAACATTTTTTAATCATCGAACATCATTTATATATTGGTTTCTGATTTACATATGTGATGTCTAAGAAAATTTCTGACTTTATTCTTTTTTGCCAGTATTAATTTAAAATTTATCTCATTTCATCTTCCCCTTCCCCAAAATCAGGTATACAGTGGGGAGGATGAAAGGAGTACATAGTTATGACATGGTGACTTTTTATTATATAGGTTACCGACTGCTAGCCTTCATATTTTTAGAAAGTGCATATTTGATTAGACCCATCTATGAGGTTCTATTTTCTTTTTTTTAAACTGGAAATTTTGTGCATTAAATGTTGGGTAGGATTAAGTGATGAGACAACGAGTCTAAATTTATTAATCATTGAAAAGTGCTGAAGTATTACCAACCATCTTACTCATTTCTGTATTTTTCCCCCTAAGTTACCAGTTAGAACAGGCCATCAGTAGTTGTGTAACTAAGATGAAGAGGAATTTTAGTGTCAGTGGATACTTATTGATGCCAGTAGTTTTTCCAAGCTGGAATTTATACTGTGACTATCAGGCAATATTTAGATGGGGGTAATGGAGAATTTTTTAAAGTATAGGAATTTTCTCTTAATGCTGACATAAATAACATCTAATGTTGTAGAAGCCTAATATCAAATATTAATTGGACTGAAATAGTTCAGAATATTTTCCCAAAACGATTTCTTACCACTCAATTTTTACTTTTGCGGAGCTTCTACTTACCATTTGTAATAACCTAAATGACAATAAAGTGAAGAAAAAAAGATTTGAAAATGGTGAAACCACCTTCTTCCAAATATCATTCAGGTGACTAAAATGCAAAACCAAGTACAGTAGACAAATAATAGCAACACTAGATAATAAGAAATAACACCATCAATAGAGCAGCAATTTCTAGGTATTTTTGGAAGAAAGGAGGGACATAGGGATTGACAGGTGTTTGTTGGTGTCCGTGTGAGCAAACCACATGGTGTGAGTGAAGCAGAAGTGGAGAGGTCTCACCAATTCTGAGTAGTGAGGGCTAGTAACAAGATTAACCCTAAGATGCATGGAGATTGGTGTGGTGGCTGGTTTCTATAGTCCCAGCTACTCAGGAGGCTGAGATGGGAGGGTCACTTGAGCCAGGAGTTGGATTCAAGCCTGGGCAACATGGCGGGACCCTATCTTAAAAAAAAAGCCCTTAAGATGGTTGGAGAGAAATTAGGGGGTGCATGGGGGCAGGAAAGGGGTAAGTGTGCGTAGACATAAGGTTTGCTTTTTTTCTCTCCAGTGAATATTTTACTCAAACTGAGGAAAGTAGAGTGATATGCTAATGTAGGGTAGGTTTTTTTCAAGCTAGGTGCTGTGATTCTCAACAGTAGCTGAGGAGGATCAACTCTTAATGCATGCAGATACCTGGACTAGAATCTGGAGGGTGGAACTGGCCTTTTAATAAGGTTCTTTAGGTTAAAAAATGTGGATGTAGTGTTTGTGGGAGTAGTGCTGTAACTCAGAACTTCCTAACTTTCTAAGCTGGCAGTAGTGGCTGATAGTGAATGAATCATGTATGTGGCAATCCTACACTTGTTACTGTATGTTATAGCCATCCTAGTGGGTGTGAAGTATCTCATGATTTTGATGTGTTTACATTTGGACTAATGATGTTGACCATTTATGTGCTTATTGGCTACTTGTATGTCTTTGGCAAAATACCTATTCCAGTTCTTTGCCTGTTTCGAAATGGGTTATCTCACTTATTACAGAGTTTCAGTAGTTCCTTATATATACTAGATCTAAGGCCACTATAAAATAAATTAATTGCAAATATTTTCTCCCATTCCAGGAGTTGTTTTTTCACTTTACTGATGGTATCAGTTGCAGCATAAAATTTTTAACTTTGATGGGGTCTGGTTTATTTCATTTTGTTTGTGCTTTTGCTGTCATATATGAGAGACCATTGCAAAATTGAAGATTGTGAAGATTTACCGCCTGTATATTCTTCTGTTTTATAGTTTTAGCTCTTACATGTAGTTCTATCCATCTTGAGTTACTTTTTGTATATGTTGTCAGATAGGTGTCTGGCTTCATTCTTTCACCTGTGGATATCTGTTTTCCTTGCACCATCTGTTGAAAAGATTATTCTTTCTCTGTTGTATTGTCTTTACACCCTTGTGAAAAATCAATTGACCACAGATCTTTGGGTTTATATATGAAGTCTCAATTCTATTATATTGACTTGTATGTTACCTTTATGCCAGTACCACACTGTCTTGACTACTGTGATTTGTTTCAAGTTTTGTAACAGGAAGTATGAGATCTCCAGCTTTGCTTTTTTTTTTGTTTTGAAGATTGTGTTAACTATTCTGGATCTCTTTCATATTCATAAGAATTTTAGGATCAGGTTGTCAATTTCTGTAAAGAAACCAGCAGGGTTTTGACAGGAATATGTTGGGCCTGTAGTTAAACTTGGTGCTTTTGTATATTAGCTTCTAGTATTCTGTGTCATCAATGGCATCTTCATATTAACTTGCATATGGCAGATTATAAATTTGTTCTCTACATAATTTTGGAGCATGATTGTGGGCTAACCTACCAGTGAGAGTGGCTGCCGTGCAGCTAATAGTCTTCTGTATTTGTGGAAATGCAGGAGGAACAGGGCATTCATTGTCTCATGTCAGTATAGAGAGAATTTGGTTGATTCAAGAGGTATTTAAGAGGTTGAATCCATAGAACTTGATAATTGGTGGAGTGTGAGAGATAAGATAGAGAAATATAGAAAAGACTATGCTTAAGTTTCTTTAGGCAGCCAAGATGGGGAATGTTGAAAAAGGAACTGAATTCCTTCAACTTGATTATTTCTCTACCTAGACTATAGATTTCTGGTCCCTCTAGGCTATTGTATCCACAGGGCTCAAGAGGTAGGACAAGGCCAGGATTTAGGATGCAGGAAGGAATACAAAAATATGTTAAGGCTGGAAGTGTTGATAGAGTTACTACATTAGGCATAGGCAAGTTTTTATCTGTATAGAGACAAACATAAGAGCTCTGAATACATCCAAATAAATCAGAGCATGCATTCAAGGACATCAATACTACTGGGGACAGAAAGGTGAGGCATCAGTACTGTAAGTGAAGACAGACAACCTGAGACGTCATTGTAGGCAGAAGTTAGGCTGGGGTCTTCAGAATCAGATGTTCAACTGACAGCAAGTGTGAAGGAGGACTTTGTCAGGGAGAACTGGGATGTGTTTCCAGAACCAGGAGAGTAGAATAAATACAATGGCATCTACCTGGAGTCTGAAGTTCTTCCAAACTAATGTTTATCAAAGAAATTTTAAGAATCATCTGCAAAACATCTACAATGGAAATTCCTGGATCTTTCTCTCAGCAGGTCAAAAAGAAGCTCAAGTGATTCTGCCACAAATGGGAATGTTGATCATAATTTAAGAAACACTGATGGAACTATCAAAAAGACCAATCTCATGATGAAATCAGCAGGCTGCTAGGTCGTATGTCCTCTTTCGAGGTCTAGGACAAATCCTAATGTATGAATGGAGATTGGGGTTATCTATCTGAGGTAGAGCTGTTACCAAAAAGGGGATCTTGATCCAGACCCCAAGAGAGGCTTGGATCTTGCACAGGAAAGAATTCAAGATGTTGCAAAGTGCAGTGAGAAGAGATAGTTTATTGAAAGCTCCATTACAGACTAGGGTGTCCTCAGGAAACAAGCAGAGGAAATGCACTGTCTTTAAATTTTTCTTATATAGGGGTCTTCTCTGTGTAAAGACTAAGGTGTGTGTACAGGCAGATAATGCAGATAACATGACCAAATTTGGTCCTTTATTGATTTCAGGAGCTCTATCCTTGGCCAGGTGCAGTGGCTCACGCCTGTAATTCCAGCACTTTGAGGGACCTAGATGGGCAGATCATTTGAGGCCAGGAGTTCAAGACCAGCCTGACAAACATGGTGAAACCCCATCTGTACTACAAAATATAAAAGTCAGCCATGTGTGGTGGCGCACACCTGTAATCCCAGCTACTCAAGAGGTTGAGGCAGGAGGATCGCTTGAACCAGGAGGTGGAAGTTGCAGTGAGCTGAGGTCATGCCATTGCACTCCAGCTTGGGTGACAGAGCAAGACTCCATCTCAAATAAGTAAATCAATCCACCCTTGACATCTTAGTGTGTAAGTGCATCAAAGCATTACTGTAATTCTTGGAAGCATATATTGTTATGGGTATTGGGACATCTGGACTTTGTGTTGTAGGAGTTTGTTCTTACAGGCGTCTCGAAGCTGTTTTCTTAGCTGTGACCATCTTAGGACCATGGGTCATGACTGGGAAGTTTAAGATGGAGTTGATTTTAAAATGTGTCACTGGCTTTTCTAGGCTTCTGCTTCCCTAATTCAGTCACACTAGATAGATCTTTGGCGAGTCATATCCTGTCATCTTCTAAAGCAGGGTTTCTTGACCTGGTTGTGGGGGAGTGAGGGTAGAGCAGTTTGCTTAAGAACACTTGGCATTATTCTGAGAAATACATGATTGTCATGACTGGGGAGGGTACTACTGGCATCTAGTGGGTAGAGGACAAGGACACTGCTAAACATGCATGTGCAGAGTTCTCTCCACAGCAAAGAATTGTCCAGTTCCAAACATCAGTTTTGCTGCTGTTGAGAAAACCTGCTCCATATCCTGAACTGACATAGGATCTTGTAATAAAGAGAAGAGTAATTGCTTGCCAGATTCAAGAGACATGGCTAAGGTAGTTAGAACTACTCTTTTTCTTTGGAGTTGCTAAAATTAGCAATATCCACACCACTAATGAAAGAAATACTAAACTTTTTGGAAAGAAGGATTAGGGAGAAGGGTATGCAGTGAGACAGGAAAGCCCCAGGAACTCCCCTGAAGTCTTTTCCATCAATACTGATCTATGACAATAACTGTGTGCATGGTATTAGAAATCCCTTTGGAAAGTGACCAGTAAAGAGAGCTTGTGCTTGTGTAACAGTTTAGTTTATAAAGCACTTGTACACTGTTTAGCTTCTTTGCGTTGGGAAGTAAACCAGGATCTTTTGTTTCCTGTGGCTGCTGTAACAAATAACCAGAAATTTGGTGACTTCAAACAATGTAAATTTATTCTCTAACTGTTCTAAAGTCTAGAAGTAATCCTGGCTCATGCCTGTAATCCTAGCACTTTGGGGGACTGAGGCAAGAGGATCACTTCAGCCAGGGTTTTGAGACCAATCTGGGCAACATGGTGAGACCTCATCTCTAGTAAAAATTTAGCTAGTAATGATCGTGGTACACACCTGTATTCCCAGCTATTTGGGAGGCTGAGGTGGGAGGATCACTTGAGCCAAGCAGTTTGAGGCTTCGGTAAGCTGAGACTGCACCACTGCACTCTAGCCTGGACAACAGAGCTGGACCTTGTCTTAAAAAAATAATAAAAGTAATTTTTAAAAGGCGAGAAGTCAAAAATCAAGTGTCAACAGAACCACAATCCTTGCGGAGGCTCTAGGGAAGAATCTGCTCTTTGTTTCTTCCAGTTTCTGGTGCTGTCAGCATTCTTTGGCTTGTCGTAGCTGCAGCTCCCTCTGCTCTGTTTTTATATCTCTTCTTCTCTATGTGTCCCCAAACTCAATCTGCCTTTCTTTCCCAAGGATACGTGTGATCTCATTTAGGGTCCTCCCAGTTAATCAGAAAAAAACCCTTCATCTCAAGAAACTCAATCATATCTTTTGCTTTATAATAATACTCATGGACTGCAGGGATTAGGGTGCAAGCATTTCCTTCTTGGGCCTACCATTCACCTCACTAGGTCACATGGCTAATTAATCGTGGAATTTAGCATTGAGCTCAAATCCTGGTTTCATCTTTCATCACTGTAGGGAATATTACAAGAAACAAAGATAAGAGAAAAAACAGGCACAGAAAGAGAATAGAGGAGCAATAGGGATGTCTTTTATTTATTAACTTATCATAGCTCTTCTGGAGCAAGAATACCTATATAAATTTGGATTTAACTTTTAAGATTTCCTATGTCTTCAGGCTTTAAGTACTTAAAATTTCTGGATAGTGTGATCATTGTAATTGTTATTGAATGCACTTGTTAAAAGCAACATTAATGTATTATAATTTGGTGGGAGGTATAAAAACCGAATTTCTACCTATCAGGGAAAGAATAAACTAAATAAGATGTATTTATATGATAGAATGCTCAGCAATAAAAAGTCAGAAACTACTCATGTGTACATTAGCATGAATAAATTTCAAAAATGTGCTAAAAGAAGCCAGACATAAAAGAGTATATACTGTAGGATTCCATTTATATTAAAATACTAGAAAATGCAAACCAGTCATTAGTGGCAAAAGCACACTGTTAATTCCCTGGGACTGGTATAGATGGAGTGACACACTGCAAAGCTTTGTGAGGAAACTCTTAGGGATGATGGAGATGTTCTGTAACTTGAGTGTGGTAGTGAGTTCAGAGTGTAATCATTTATCAAAATTTATTGACTTGTACAGTTTGAATGAATATGGCCTATTGTACATAAATCACACTTCGATAAAGTTATATGTTTTAGGTTTTTATAAATATTAAAGAGAAAGTGAAATTGCATTGGAAATACACAGAAGAATAAATCTTTATTCAAAGCAGTAAAAGTCTGTCACTCATTCTTGAACCAGACCTATTAGCGCTGCTACAGATTCACTCCCTATCCTCAAGTCTGACCTTAGTTCCCAGTATTCTACCCGTAACTTTCTTCCTCACCTCTGCTATTTTTCACACACATCAGACCATGTACCCACTTCTGAGACTTTACTCTGGCTTTTCTCTCTTCCTGTAATTCTCTTTCCCCAGAGATCCATAAGTGTCTCTCCCTTATTTTTCCTTTAAGTCTTTTCTCAAATGTCATATTTTCAAAGAGGATCACTCTAAACATCTTTTGACATGGCAACATGTATCTCCATGTCCACACTCCCATCTCTCTTGGCTCTTTATTCTGTAGACCTTAACACTTCTAAATACTAATTTCCTCATGTTAATTATGTATTGCTATTAGGAATTGTATACTCCAGGAGGGCAGAAATCTTTGTTCTCTGTTGTGCTCCCATACCTAGAATTCTGCCTGGCACATACTCAGTACTCGGTAAACACTGAATTTTAAAAATGAGTGAAAGTAGACTTAAAATGAAACACTTTTCATGTTAATATATATATGAATCAATAAGATCCCTTGTTAAACATTTTCAGCCCTTCTAGGGACTTCTATGAGTATGCCCTGTCTAAAACAAAGACAAAAAAACCTTCAAAGAGGCTGATTCAATGTTTTTGAGACATAAACAGCAAGTTATAAATACTATAGAATTCTGGAGCACTCAAAATTTTCATTCGATGAACTAACTCCAGTGTTAACACAGAGTCTTGGATGTGAAGCAGGGTTTTGTAAGGCTGAGCACTTGCTCTTCCTTCCAATGAGAACACCATCCTTACGGGGAGAAGTAAATTTGATGAAAATTAAATTCAGGATGGTTGTACAGATGTGTTGAGTTGCCCAGCTGGAAACAGTACCATTACCTGGGGGAAAACACTTCTTACAACTTCTAAATAGATGGTTCTTCAAATGAATTGAAAGAGTACACCAAATATGAAGCAGCATAGGAAACGGTAGCAGGAGGGGTCAAGGGTAGTCAGTTAACCTTCCTTTTGCCACAGGGCTTCTGTCATATTTCAACTCCTTCCTTGGACAGCACGAGAGCTTTATGATTTGAGTCACATCACTGAAACCTAGCTTGTCAGTGCCCTTATCACTTCCAAATCAGAGGAATGTTCACCTCTGACAAAAGTGTCATAGCTTAGGTAGATTTGTTGAATTTGGATTTAGCACCCAAAATGGCAGTAGGAAGTCAGAACTGGGTTAGAAGAAACTGGCCAATTGTGGATTTATAGTCGGCATTCAAAGGGACTACTGAATTCAGGACTAGATCAAGTAGATAGCAGTTTCTAGATGGTCCAATCCAATGGCCCAATTAGGGATGAGGTGGAGGTGAAATGTGCAGGTTTCAGACAGAATGCAGGCAACAGGCAATACTCAGAGACAAGTCATAGTAACAGTAATGGCTCACTAAGCCAGGCAGAGACAAGGGGAGACAAACACCAGAGAGGGTTTCTAAGCCAAAGGCATGGCAAAATAACAAGACCAGAGTTCAAGAAAGGGCCCCAGTTCCGGCAGGGCCATCTAGACAATATGCAGTTGCTGGGACTGACCAGGAGTAGTAAGAGATGTTGGATAAACTCTTCTGAGAGCCCTAGGAAAGGATGGAACATTCAGATTTTGAGATTTCTTACTCTTCAATTTAGGGGAGTATGGAGAGATTTCAATTCAAGATGGATTTCAGTTAGGGTCAGAAGTCCAAGTTTGAAAACAATATTGACAGTCAACATGGCATAGTAATAGTAGCACCTGCCTTATGGTCCTGTTTTGAAGATCAAATTAGCTAGTATGTATCAAGCATATAGAACAATACTGTACACAGTAAGCATTAAATATCAGGAAACCTGTGTCTTAGAACAAAATTTTGTGAAATTGCAGTCCTAAATTCTTACTAATCCAGTATGTAACAAAGGTGACAGTGTACTTTCCTGAATAGAATATCAGTCTTGGAAATTCAGTGAGTAATCAGAACTTTTTCGATTGTAAATGAAACTACAAATATTGGTGGATTTGAAAAATATGACAGAACTGATGAAAAATGATAAATATCAACATAGAAAAAATTATAAATGTTGCATGTATATGTGCATTTCTATTTCATCTTAATCCAAAAATAACATCTAAAAACAAAAAAGTGGACTGAGCAAGGTGGCTCATGCCTGTAATCCCAGCACTTTAGGAGGCCAAGGTGGGAGGATTGCTTGAGGCCAGGAGTTCGAGGTCAGCCTAGGCAACATAGTGAGATCCAGGGTCTACAAAAATATTAGGGAAAAAAAAAAAAAAAGCCAGGTGTGGCAGCACATGCCTCTAGTTCTAGCTACTCAGGAGGATGAAGTGGGAGGATCTCTTGAGCCTGGGAGGTCAAGGCTGCGATGAACTATGGTCACACCACTGCCCTCCAACTGAGGTGACAGAGAACTAGTCACCCACTAATAATTATTATTATTTAAAAATTAAAAAGTAAACAGAGAATATAGAAATGGCAAGAGACAACTAATACTGAAAAAGACTAAGAAAAAAATAATTGACAGAACAGTGAAGTTATAATACACGCTATGTACATGCACATGAACTAGGGTATATGTAATACATAGAATTGTATGTAATACAATATGTAATATGTATGTATTATGTACAATATGTATGTATGTATGTATTACAATATGTAATACATGTAATACATAGAATTGTATGGAATTATGTGAATGATCATTTGAGGATATACCTATTTCAAATTGGTCTCTGAAAAGAAAGCTGTCATTGTATAAGCAGAAGTAGATAAAACACCCTTAAGCCATAAACTGGGCAACAAATTGTTTTGTGCTCATAAACTCATCTTTCTATCTGAATAAATCTGGGCAACAGATTTATTCAGACAGAAATTACTTCTGTTGTGGTTTTATTATAAGGATTAGAAAACGATATTGATATCCTCATGCTCAAAAGAACCCAAATATAAATATCTGTGGAAAGGGCTCTTGCTTCCATAAGAAAATTTAATAGTAGCTGCTTTTCAAGGCCCCTGTGAGCTTGATGTTGAAGCCAAATCACCCAGCAAGATTTTCCTCTCATAGATCCTGGAGCGGAG